TACTTTCTACAACATCACAACCTCATAAAACATGTAGTACAAGCTCATATCACTTTTCTGTTATGAAGCTTTTTGAAGACTGTCTCGAACTCGAAACTAGTCGGAAGATCCTGATGTGAATCAATTCGATTCGGCTTCATTAGAGTAGAGGTTCAATATAAATTGGTTATTGTTTGTTAATTTGAAGTCGCTCGAGGCTAATGAAATCAATCGAATATCCATGGCAAAGTTAGCATTAGAGCCTATAGACTAGTTTCACATTCTGAGTAATCAGCAGTCTATCACGAGACTAGTCGAATGTGTTTAAAAGTTAACGCTAAATAACAATAACAATTGAGATTCCTTCAAATAACAGATCATGTTCTGATACAGTGTCATGACATCTTGATAAGATTTGGATCAGCTTCTATTAAGAGTCAGGGAACAATGTTTGGCTAATTATTCAAGTCGAAATCGTTTTTTTACATTTCAATCAAGAATTAATACGTTTTGTTGGCATTTTAAAGGTACTTTTTGTTCTCAGAAATTCTTGCAATAAAAACACTCTTTAAATAGAGTACACTAGACACCTTCATGAAGAAACATTGGAAAACGAGATAAATCTTCAAAGGTACAACATTAGAATTTTAAATTACCCAATATTTTTCGAAAACTAGTCAGTATAATTTATTGAGTAATTAAGTGAGCCAGACAGTGAGGTCAGTTGAATCGTAATCGATGGCTCCCGCTATATTCATCGTACTTTATCATAGTGTTAAAAGACCTTTCTCATATGACTATCACTTTTCTTTTTACATAGTTTAACCTTGATTTAGAACCCTATTTCCCAAAAAACAAAGAATAATCGACTTGCCCATTATTACTGTGTGTGTTTCTCACGTCAGTCAAAATGTGACCACTGATCAATATTTCTCTAGCAATGTATATTTAAAATTTTCATTGTTCTATAATCTGTATTCCAGAACTATTAACTGGAACGTGCTCAGTTTGTGTTTATCGGTCACTTTTACACGTAGTTCAGTCTCCCATTTGAATCGTTTCAAACAAATAAAATAAGCATGTTCAAATTGCTTACATCTGTCCTTCTTATTGTTGCAGATTCGTCGTCGGTGCCTGCTCACTGGTCTTCTCCGAGTAAGTACATTTAATTTATTTGTATGGCTCGAGCATACACAGACCATTCTATGACTTAGTCATTGCAATAACCTGGATATTAGTGCACTCCATTATGAGAAAATGAGTTAGATTTCAAAACTTTTTTGTTTAACATTTGTATTTGTGTTACGACTAAATCAAGCAGAAAATGATAACATATACATGACAAACATATTTCATGCTGAATATTTTTGTGGAAAGGTATCAGCGAAATCCTCCTCAGGATTAAAGTCCTTGATAGATTAGATGACTTGGAGTCTTTTGTACTGTCGTGCTTTCTACAGCCTATAGGGAATCTTCTATTATGTTCCTGACATGTTTAATTTACTTAGCGAACGTTCACAACACGAAAAAGAAAAAGACAATGTTTGAAGGCAAAAAAAAAAAGATCAGTCAGATTTCAAACCTTTGCGTAGTTCACAATAACAGAATGTTGTTGAAAAAAGTAAATGAAAATTTTTATGAATCCATCACATTTAAATCAGCTGCTTGTGTCAAGACTCGATAGATGTGCGCGAAAAAAAGCGAAGAAGAATATTAAAATAAAGTGTGCTGTGGACTTCGTTTTTAGTTTCTAGCTAACTTGAATAATTATGGTTATCCATGAAGAAAGTTTATCGAAAAGGCACAGTTAAATACACGCTAAGAGTGTTTTTAGGATCCTTTGTGTCTATTTTAAAACAATCTTTGAGTCTTTATGCTAAAAGAAATCCGTTCGCAGAGACGGAAGGTGTATTTCATAGAATGTGCATCTCCGCAGGGTGTATAGGCATGAAGGTACATCTCTTCCTTCCATAAACATATCTAGACCCTAACGATTCCTAATATTTGCATATTCATTGTTTCTATGATCAAAACAAAAGATTAATTACATTACATATACGTATTATCTTTCGGGAAATATATAACTATTTAGATAGATGTTTCACATCATAGCAAAGTTTAGAGATCCTAAGCAGTTTTTTGAATAGCTATAAAACAATAAGAGATTCAAAGTTTTGGTTTTCATTACTGTCTACACTTCATAAGAAAATTTTCTTGCTTTTCTTGTTGGACACATGCTTAGTTTAGAAAATGATTCTTATGCAGTCTGTATAAAAGAACGATTTCCAAGCATAATAGAATGAGTAAAAACATTTCTTAGACCGTTAAATTACCAAAACTTGTGACGTATGATTTTTTACATTTTTCCAACGAAAATAATAGTTGGAGGTCTCAATCTTGTGTTTTATTTCGAACTAATAAAAATCGTCTTCAAAATTATTAAATTTAGAATAAGAAAAGTGAAAGAATTATCTATCGGCTTTCTTAAAATCGCTAGAATTATATAGATTTTAGATAGTGTTGAAAAAAAATGACCCCTTTGGTTTTTATTCTTTCGAAAACCGCGTATGAATTATAAATATTATAAGAATATCTTAGATGGACAAAATAATCGTAAAAAAAGACGATTGAGAAGAGGCATGAAAATAGAGAAAACTAAAGCCATGTTTCAGCAGATGCAAACTTTGAATATTTAGGATGTCGGTTACAATTCCTGACGGTGAACTAGAAACGTTCAGAAAAACTAGACTTGACAATGACTAACAATCTGTAACGAATAATCCAACTCTAACTTCAACAAGTATATAACATAGTACAACATTTTTTGGACGATCTCTTGAATTGAGTTATGTTTCTTTCCAAAATTGGTCCGAAAGAACTGAAACTAGAGAAATAGAGAAAGCAAAATACAAACTTCGTTTTGATAACTACACCATTCTAAAAGTAAAATATCTGTTAAGTGAAATCTTTATTTTATGCAAGACAGTTAATAATGTTTGTATGAACTTTTTATCATTTCTATGTAATGAGTAATTTTTCTTTCCAAATATCATATTTTAAAGAGTGTCTGACGCTGCATCAGATAGCTAATGATTTCAAGTTTTGTAAAAAAATCTGTTTTTTTTTTAATTTTTATTTTGAGAGTTTCTTTTTTTAAAGACTTGCAGAGTCAGGCGCTCTTTAGAATATGATATTTTGAAAGAAAAATTACTCATCATATAACAATGATAAAGAGTTCACATGAACATTGTCAGTTATCTCTCATAAAATAAACATTTCGCTTCTTAGATATTTTACTTGAGGGTGTGGGTGTGAAATTTTGGTACTCAGAAATCACATGCCGCACATGTACGCTCACACCAACACCAACTCTCCCACTCTCTATCTGTTGTATTAAATAGAGAGAAAAAGACGGATTTTGATGAATCGTGAAACCTTCGAGATCTACCAAGATCTATTAAAAATAAAAGTATTAGTCTTTCACAAGTTTTGAAACCTCTCAAGTTCATGACAACCCATCAAAAATCCATAGAATCAATGGATGTTCACAATAATATGAAAGAAGCAAGGAGAAACAATATATTTAGGCTCTCTCAAAATTATTCGAAATACATCCGATTAGTTGAGAACTACTTCGAAATCTGTTCTGTTATGTGTGCAAGTACGCCGTTGTCAATTTGAATATTGAATCTACTTTTTTGCTAGCATTGACATTCTCATGTAACACGATTTTCGAAGTTACATTTATTTGAAGCAATTTAAATTTGCAGGCGAACGAAGAAAAAGTATCCATCCAGACTCAAGCGCAGTTAGTCATGTATGATGAAATTTAAACTTCATCTCCCTAAAGATCGTGTCAGTAAGCTCTTAGCTTTGACACATTGATCAAGTACGTTACTGGTTCACTATGCCATATGTCTCTCGTAGGTCGATGAGACACAAGTTGAGTTCTTTCTAATATCCGCAACACTTTTCTCGCTACGATTCTGACTACAAATATCGATTCTTTTGTTGACTTTTTGTTGCGGAATCTGGTTTCTTATTGGTAGGATTACCACAAATCTTGAAAAAAGAGAGTCGAATCATAAAAATTTTTCTAAATAATGATTCGCCGGTTATTATTTTTTTTCATTTTGAACACAAACTTTCTATATGCTACCTAAGCATATGGCATCTTTGACGATGTCTGATACAAATTAAGAATTTTCATGGATTGTTTTTCTAATCAAATTTTTCTTCAAAAATGGCGTGTTAAAACACATTTTCTCATTTCTTAAAAAGTGTGCTGCTTCGATAGCCAAATGAGTGGATGGAAGCTATCTATTTGATATTTATAGGATCGCAAAGCAACATGATGCTAGTGATGTGTGAGGCGACAAATTTTTTGGAACCTATGTAAAAGCTTTTTTTACAGAAATACATACAATGTCATTAAGTTAATAGTCAGTTTTAAAGTTACAAACGAAAGAAAAAAATATGGTACTTATTTCAGTGTGAAACTAAAAATAAATTTGCATTAAAGGATAACCTTTTCGCTCATCGTTAAATTCCATGAATGACAACTGCACATAATGGATGTGTATCAAATCAGAAAAATAGAAAAATTCGAATGTGATATAGAAATGAACAAAAAAGATATTTTTGGCTACTTTTTTTGATAAGATTCTTTTAATGAAGACCATGCAGCATAGTCTATTTCGCTTCTTAAAATTCACATTTTCCGATGCCACAGTAGTTGCAGTATTCAGACAGTTAAAATTTTGGGAAAATGTATTGCAACGCACCAGTTCTGCTCTCTTATGAATGTTCTGACACCTCTTTGAAAATCGCTCAAGGATGGATATGGTAGATGAGAGAGGCTTAGATGAAGGGAGACGAGGGGATGGATATGGGTCTCCTCTTAACTCCTACTATACCCCTACATCCAAGTACACGCAAATCTTTTCAGACTTTTGTCTTAGACAAGAGGTTTGCTTCGCTGCGCGATGTAACACTGAATCAACATATTCACTTGTTTGAAAATGCTTCGTATTCTTTCAGCACCACCACTGCGTGGTAGTCTCATTGATATTTCACCCCGCACTGAATGGGTCAAGAACGGTGTTACTGTGGTTGGCGGAAATGGACCAGGTACGAGAAACGATCAACTTTGTGAACCACATGGACTTTATATTGATGAAGATAACACTATCTTCGTCGCTGATACTGCGAATCACCGTATCGTGGCATGGAAGTATGGTGAAACGAATGGTGTCGTAGTAGCTGGCGGAAATGGAGAAGGAGACCGAAACGATCAGCTGAATCGCCCAACAGATATGATTGCACACAAAGCGAGTAATAGTCTCATTATCTGCGACAGAAACAATCGACGAGTGATGCAATGGCCTCGTCATGGTGGCACGACTGGAAAAATAATCATCTCGGGATTCGACTGTTACAGCTTGACGATGAACAATCAGGGATTTCTTTATGTCTCTTCACCTGCTGAGAATCTTATTCGACGATTTCGACTGGATGAGAGTCATGTGACAGTAGTGGCAGGTGGGAATGGAAAAGGTGATGGCCTTCATCAACTCCATTTGCCTTACTACATCTTTGTCGACCGAGATAATTCATTGTACGTATCGGACGAACAAAATCATCGTGTGATGAAGTGGGCGGAGGGTGAGTCAAAAGGTAGTGTCGTGGCTGGTGATCAAGGTTATGGAAGTGATCTGAAACAATTGTGTGGCCCTCAAGGAGTGGTTGCCGATCGGTGCGGCACTGTCTATGTGGCAGAGCTTTGGAATCATCGAATAATGCGTTGGCCCAAAGATGCAACACGGGGAAGTATCCTGGCAGGTGGAAATGGCGAAGGAGAACAAGCGAATCAACTGAATAATCCAGAGGGCTTATCATTTGATCGATACGGCAACCTGTATGTCGTCGACCGATTAAACAATCGTGTTCAAAGATATAATATCGACAAGAGTCACGAACAACAATGATCAGCAGTGTTTGCACTGAATAAGACGTCAAAGTTATTCAATAGCAGTGTGACTATTGAATAGGAAATATCATTTCTGAAGAAATATGAACTCCACAAGCTTATTCAAAAATGATTCTTTTTCGACTTGTATAGTTAGATCGAGTTGTGTACCAATGGGTGCACTATAAGCAATGGATCTTTCTTTTTTTTCTGAGTATTGAAGGTGTAGGTGTGGATGTATAGATGTGGCGTGTGTGGGTAAGGTTCTTTTCTTAACTTATACCTGCAGCCACACCCACACCCATAGATAATCGTTTGACTAGAATAAACAGAGGCTAGCAGCCTGTGAAAACCAGTGGTAGTGCCTGATGAAACACAGGGTGTATGGGTGTGGGGTGTGGATTTGGCTGTGGATGTGGGTGCGAGTCTTTTCTAAATCCACAGCCACACCCCACACCAACAACCACATACATACCCTGCCTACACCCTTTGTACTCTAATATGATTAATGCAATAGTTTATTATTTCCCTGTTGTGCTGTGTTTCGATCTTTGTGTCTGTTAGCATCAAAACGTACTGAATAATTTAAACTCTATTGATTCTGAAAGTTGTTTTACATTTCTTGCATAGAAAACTACTCAAAGATGAAGTATTACGGAAAGAAATCAATTGACTATAATCAGAAAAAAAAGCAGACTTCTGTGGCAGTTATCTAGAAGTGCACGAGAGACGTTCAAGTGGTTTTCAATAAAACCTTAAGGGTATAAGCTGATCATAGACTGCTCGTCTAAGTATTATCGTATAGTATGTGTGGTCCAAACATGAGATGTGACTAGCGATCTATGAAGAAAAAATTGGAAAGAATTCTGAATTTCCTTACTTTGTTTCCTTACTATTGGATCATCCTGTATATTATGCGGATAAAAAGAAATTGTGCGTATCTAGAAATATTTGAAATCATTGGATAGTGGTCAAGCATGGATTTCAAGCTGTATTATTTACAGCAGTTCGCCAGACTATATAAGGCGCTGATGATTTTTTATGTCTATCAATGCATAGTTGCAAGCTCTGTCGAATGGTATGAGTTCCGTATGCTTGTAGTTAAATTGTGTTTGACTGAGACCTTTACAATATGATAAAACCAGATAGGTCATCAGATTTTGAATCGTTATACTTGGAATGATGCGACTGAGCATAAAGCCACTCAGAAATTATACATCAATCGACGCAGAAGTCGGAGACTATGGGTGTCAGTATCGTTTAGGTAGAACAGGTATACTCACCAGCATTGAACATAGTAACTCTGTTTATGTGAAATAATCAATAAGTTCATTCTTTTTTTTATGATTTCGTTAACTTCAGGTTCAATCTCGTCATTCTCTTACACAAGACTGCTGGAGGGTGTCGATGTAGAACAAGAAGTAGATGCATCTTCACACCCACACCCATATGAATCCTTGTTACATGCATTCATCTGTAATTGCATATAGGAACTCATTGTTTTAATTAATTTTCTCATATTTATAATCCACATTCAAAAATTGGATGCATCAGTCATTTGTAACTCATGAACTATTTAACATCTCGGTATTATTAATATTTGACTATAAAACTGAATACGAATTATTCGCCATGTATCTTTTCAATTTACAGACAATGTAATTTTAACTACAGTTTTTGATAAAATGATTCCGTGCATTCTCTTCTGTCATACACTTTACATTGAGTTCATACATTAAAACATAGATGATATTAAAAAAAGAAACTTGTTGTCAACATGTCTTAGACAATGTTTTTCAGGTAGTCAAGGAGAATTGCGTGTATAGCTGAGTCGTTCCAGTTGTGGAAGATATTCAAATAAATATGATAGATAGCTTAGTGAACAATCTCGAAGTACAAGTAATTTTAATTTTCAAAAGACTAGTTTGAATAGGCATAAAAGTTCTATTAAGTGGTTAAACGAATTGACCATCTCGAGTTTTTTAGAGTATAACGGATGATGGTTGATTCGATTTCATTCTAGTGAAATGATTATTTCTATCTAATCTTTCGTACGAAATGGAGTCAGTCATTTGAGCATATTCGTTTTAATCATACCAATATAATAATGTTGATAAATAATATGATTATAGATAGTTCTAAATGAACTCGTGAAACGCTTTCGTTTTCTATTTAAAATAATAGATATCTATCTTTACTTCAACAAAAAGTCTCATACTAAAGGAAGAACATATATGTGAGATTTTTTGCATCAAGCGAGGCTTCTTATCAACATCAAACATATCATAAAAAGATCTGCATTGGTGGCTGTAGGAAAGTGTTGAGGATAAGTTTAAATAGATATATAAGTGTAACTTCTTTGCCAATGAAACAAATCTGAATTTATCTATTTTCATTTCTCAATACCATAACTTGACCAGCATGTGTGATATTGTCAGCGACTGATCCAGCGAGATAGAAGGGTTCACCATCCCATATGCACGGGCATCGGATGGCTAAGTTCGATGCGTATTTGACTGCATTGAGCAATGCGATTACCACAAAAACTCATATGAATTAAAGCCATCTGCCTTATATTTAAACTGAATACTTGAATATTTCGATCACCAAAATCTCGTGTCTTGAAATATTCCACAGTAGGATGGGTCACATTATGAAAAGTCATCCTTCGACTGCTCTTCTGATCATTGACAGGAAAGTCATGTGTTTGAAACGAACTTGAGGAGGTCTGATCAAAAGAATCATCATATCTTTGACTATTCAATTGTGATGTGTTTCTTTTCGTTGATATTCTGCCCCATAGACGAGTACCAGAACCAAAGCTTGGAGTATTAAGCACAGCTAAAGAATGACAATGTTGCATGGAATCAGTCAAGTCTTGCCTGTCACAAATTAAGCGTATGTATGCACTTAAATTCCATGCCATTCCAAATGCAAATTCCTTGAAATACTTGCGAGCTTCATTTATATAAAGAATTTTATTTTTGAATGGCGATGTAAATTTAAATGGATCATGTATGCGACGAACGTGAAAATCGAGCACAACTGCTGCATCAAATCCAAAACTTATGTAATTGAAAAAGAATTTTCTAATTGGCGTGCGATGATTGTCGTACAATGGCTGACTGGCATCGCGAATGAACTTCGGATGATCCATGAACGAGAAAAAACGTCAACGTATGTTCATATATTGCTTACTCGATGCGTTCGTTTCTAATATTTCAACTTGGATTTTCCAGCGATCGAGTGGCATGGGATGGGCTCGAGTTATTTGTGTAAGTGTTCTCAGCAGTCGCCTCAATTCATAGCGATATCCCCAGCCAAGTACACGTGACAAATCATTGCCAGTATCTAATGGACAAATGCTTGTTGGTGGATTTTTCAACCGTGGAAATGCATTCACAAGATGATTAGGCATCAAGCTAACTGTGCCATCACCATCGCAGATACAAATACGTGTATTGTTCAAAGACGAGTAGATACTCAGAGCTTGTATAATAGTTGTATCATTTTTGAGTAAAAATACTTGGCGAGGATTGAGTACACGAACGAGCATATGGTAGACTTCCTGACCTTTCTGACCGCCGGAAAGTTTATTGATGAAAAATATAACTGGTATTGACGATATATCGTTCATCTGAAGATGATCAGGTATTTGGGCACGAAAGTGAAAAGAAGAATCAGCTACGCGGTGTAACCATTCCGAACGAACAACAATTTTACTAAATATGAATCATAACATGAAAATAATACTAACATTTCCTATCTGAGCTTACCTATACTAGAGTACTGCAACCCGACCCGACCCGCACCCGAGCCCGACCCGCGGGTGCGGGCGGGTTCGGGTTCAATCTTGTCGGGTGCGGGCGGGCTCGGGTTCAATCTTATCGGGTCGGGTCGGGTACGGGTCTGTCAGCCGTCGGGTCGGGTCGGGTGTGGGTTTGAAATTAAAAAATGTCGGGTTTTTATCGGGTCAGATTTTTTTGCGTATGTATGCTTTTGCCCTCTATTTTCGTTCGTCTTAAACTCATAGAATAATAAAACTCAATTCTATTGATCAATGATTCTCAGAGTCTAATGAAATCAGAACGTAATGCTGTTATTAAAAATATACGAATACTTTTAAAAGCTCTAGGTATAGATCAACAAGTCGATGAAGAAACAACAGAGACAGGTACCAACAACAATTCCTCAACACATCAAAAACGTATTAAAATAGACACTGTACACGATGTTCTCAAGTCTTTTAATGCATTTGTAGACTCATCATCAGACGATGATGATAAGAGGCCGATGGATAAAGTAGATGATTATATTAAAGCGAAAATATCATACCCAAAAGGAGAATCACTTTTACAACGGTGGCAAAAACACTCTATCATATACAAAAAGTGAGTTTCTTGATTACTATATCATTCTCCTTAAATGCACAAGAAAAATTCAATAAATTAATTTAAATTTGATTCTCCTTAGGGTATCATTATTGGCATGTTCTCTCTTAGCAGTACCTGCAGGTTCTGCTGTATCTGAAAGAATATTCAGTAAAACAGGTCGGATTCTTGAAGTTCGACGTCAACAAATATCACCAGAATCACTTGACTCTCTTATTTTTTTACGAAATTTTTCAGTTGTTTTGTATAAATTGAAGATGTATTATTGATATTTGTACGATACTTATTGTTATGATCATTATCGATCTTAACTGTTTGAAATGTATGTATTTGAATGGAAATGTGATCATACTAAGTTGTGATGGTTTTTTTTGCAATCATGATTATCTATGTGTTTTTTATTGCTATAAAGCTTCTATCATTTTGTATGCTTAATATTGCAATAAACTGATGTATCTTTATAAAATAAACGAATTTAAATCTCTCGGGTCGGGTCGGGCTCGGGTCCAACTATCCTCGGGTCGGGTCGGGCTCGGGTTGAACCTTGTCGGGTCGGGTCGGGCTCGGGTTGAGCCTTGTCGGGTCGGGTCGGGCACGGGTACGACTAAAAGACCTCGGGTCGGGTGCG